TAAATTTTCAAAAGATTGGCGGTGAAGTGCGTCAGGATACAGAAATAATTGTATAGTACTATCGATCAGAAAGATACGACGTACAGGTTGGTTTTTAGAGCTTGGGCAGTATCCCCAACCCCTAACGAAAGTACCATAATGATGACAGCTACTTGGATCAACTTTTAGTAATATAACAGGCGCCCCTGTTCAAGCAATCCTCTTGACGTCACCAATGCTACCAAATCTTTGAATATGTTCACAAACTCAAAAATGCTATGGTTTTTTTTCAAAAGTAAATAAATCAAATTTGCTTACTTTGTGTGTTGCAATTAACCGTTAGTAGTGTTTCTACCCCTTCCAATTGAGTTCTGGTTTCGTCAGTGACGTCATGAACGCAATCTTTAGATTGAGATGTGAAGTTTTTAAGGGTAGATTCTGGTAGCTGTGATCGTTAAATATCCAGAGTTCAAATTTAAAAAAAAAAAAAATGGACCATCTCCTTTAATTCTAGGGGTCTTCAGCAATGGGAGGAAACTGTGTGACCTGGAGAAAACCAACGAGGTTGGAGTAATAAACGAGATGAGTACTTAAAGCTAATTTGAAAGACGGTTAAGCTAATTCTCATATGACATTTTTGCTCTTTCTACAGCACGTGAGATATAAATTAAATATACCACATTAACCTGTAATCAATAAAAGAAAATATATAAATGACGTAAACCAAAAGAAGAAAAAAATGAATTCCAGGTTTATAAATTCAAAATGAATGTACTATGTACGTGTTAATTTTCATAAATTCTCCGCAATCTTACACTATTATTCATCTCAACACGCGATCTTATATAACTGAAATGAACATATGAAAGCTCATTGAGAACAGAATAATAAAATGATTGATATGTAATGGGTATAATGTAACTCAAATGGAGACAATGTACTTTCAAGCTTCCTTGCGCGACGGAATTTAGACACTGCCCTCGGGAAAAAAGTACGGTATATATATAATAGTCGTTCGGATATGACGAACAACCGATGTCGAGTGTACAGATTGGCATACACGTGCAAGATCCTTTAACAGTTGGAATTCGAAATAACACATTGTATGGCGCATGCCCGTCTTTATTAGCCCAGTCGATGTAGAACAGTAGAGCATTAAAACCCATTTCATTTCCAAGTTTCACAACATGTAATACCATAAACAATGTTCATTTTCATCATTATGGTAACGTTACCATGGTGAGAGCATATCAACCATATCTTTTGATATACCGGGGACAGGACTTCCCTTCATTATTATAAAAAAAACTAAGAGAAAACAATGCTACCAGGGACGCACAAAGAATCAATCAGTAGAAAACATTATTTCCTTGGCTTATATTTTTCTTTGTCCTTAGCTACTATAACATAGGCCTATCCGTCATTGTATATTTATATCCCTCGGTATCGCACACTCTGGTGTATGACATTAACAAACCAAAACATACTAAGCATTCCCAGAACACACAAATGCAGAACAAAGCCTAAAATTTAGATTATGTGTTGGTATATTTTAGGTAAATGTGTTTGGTAGACTTTAGGTAAACTGTACGCAATTAGATTTTTCTGCAATGTGCATGAGACGCAATTTGTAAATATTCTGCAATAATGAAATATGAAACCTCCAGGGACGCACAAACATCGTTAGCGAACCGCAAAGTCCGAAGAGGACACCACTGTATCTTGGTATCTATATATTAAATATAGTCGACTTGATACTTGATATAATAAGTTATTAAAATGTCTCCCGTAGTGGTTTTATGCACTACTAACATGATAACTTCCTGGATTATGACCCCTGATTGTGCGAAAAATCGCTTTTTAGCTTGTTGACCCTCTAGGTCACAATTTTTATACGATTGAATAAAAAGGGTTTAAATATATCACCGTCACACCAGTTCAGTTCGAATTTCGTGAAAATCGGACCTAAAACTAACAGGTGTTTAACTAGCCATAAGATGACAATACTGGTTCGTTCGTTCGTTCGTTCTTGGTGTTTAACGTCTGCTTCCACATAAGTGATATCGCAGACAAGACATAGGAGAGCCGAAGCTGATTCCTGTTTTTTAGAATATGATTTTGCAATCTTTCCATTTGGCCTTAGGCCATGGATTTGGTTTAGTGGGAAGTTCTTCCCTTTATTTAATACAAAACATATCGTTTGGTAGATGATCTCGTCTGCTTCTGGATTGGTAGATGTCATCGTTTGGGGTGCCAGGCCCGTCTTATCGTGGACTCCCCTTACTCCACTGTCCCACTCTCTGGGTTTGGTATCAGTTTTATTTGCGGAATAGTGTTTAGGTGCCAAGTTCGTCTGACCGTAACTCCCCCTTACTCCACTATCCTGCTAGTTTGGTAGATGTCATCTTTGTGGGGTTTGTGTTTAGGTGCCAGGCCCGTCTTATCGTGACCTCCCCTTACTCCACTATCCCACTCTGTAGGTTTGGTGTCTGTTTTGGTGTTTAGATGCCGAGTCCGTCTGATCGTGACTCCCCCTTACTCCACTATCCTGCCAGTTTGGTATAAATCCCCTATGTAGTTTAGTGGTATAAAAGCGTGACTATTTATAACACCCATCTCTATTGAATACACAAACCGGTACAATAGTGATGTGTATCATTCAATTGTCACTGTTTTAACACCTTAGTGACAAAACACCTACATAATGACTATTGACTGATTGCTAACAATTTTAACTGACTTATACACATTATAGTATATAAAATGACGACTTTGATCTGTTGATGTATATTTCTATTTATAAAAGTTGTTTGCTGCTTTGTCAATGATATCAACTTTACAGTGTCTAAGATCACAATTTTTATCCGATTTTGATGAAACTTTGATATATGTTTATATCGCAAAGATCTAGGTCCCTTTCGATACTTACGCATATCTTACCCCAACTTCCTGGATTATGACCCTCGATTGTTTGAAAAAAAATCGTTTGTTTTTATTTTGTCTTGTTCTCTGTCCATCTCTTGCAAAATTTGGGCGTATCTTGCATGGCAACCGCTTGTTAACTACCATCATCCTAGACGTTGTAAAATATATTTAAGTTACCATGTTCTGCCAACAAGGCGATTTATTAAAGCGTTACCATGTGCTGCCAACAAGGCGAATTATTAAAGCGTATATGTGTTATTGAACAATCCATAAGCACGGGCAATCTGATCTTAAAATCTATTGTTACTACTTAATCAAGCAATCAAATATACTTTTTAAACAGGTAAGATATAATGTCAATGTGACATCATGCGTACAAAGTCAATACATTTTAACGATTCCTATCATCGATATGATTTTGGATTACGGTTACCTAATGATTTTTCAATAGTGAACCACCGAGAATAATTGGATTCTATAAACTATTCAGACTGTCCGAAGAGACGCGGTGGGTCTATTTAGAATCTTTATATCGGTTCCCTGTTCTTATAATTGATAAATGGTAATACAACAATAAGTGTGCCTACGGTTAGGCAAACAATAAATAGTTTAGAGCAACTTTTGGTTGAGCACCTTTTTATAATCTCGAGTTGGGTACTTTTTACAGGCCATATTTAGACTCTTGCTATTGTATTATCTACATTACACGTTCGATCTCTGTATTGGCAGATTTTCCGGCGTGGTTCCCCCTTGTCAGTGATGCAGGACGGAGGGCCTGACAAGGACAGCTGTCCAGTCCTTCGGATGAGACGGAAAACCGAGGTCCCCTGTATACATTGGAATGCACGTAAAGGATCCCTTGGCAGTTGGAATTCGACATAAGAGTAGGCGATAGTGCCGCTGCCCGGGCAAAATTTCCCTCATAGCACACTGTATGGCGTATGCCCGTCTTCATTAGCCCAGCATAGGAGCAGAACAGTAGGACGTTAAACCCCATTTCATTTCATTGTCTACATTACACGTACGCAGCATATGAATGTATTCACCATCTCCATTCGAGTATGAGTGGTGTGATCTGATTTTTTTTTATCGGGATTCCCAGAGTTCTGTGTGGGGTGGGGGTTGTATTGATTTTAAAGCCCTCTCCCCCTACACCCCTTTGGAATAGTGAGTAAGCAAAATTCTGCTAGCGCAATCTCCATATAATAATCACTGCAAGGACACCGTTTAGTGATGGAAATTATAGCTTAGCGGTATAAATAATTGTTATGCTAATCACCCGAGAAAGCCTTGCGTATATATTTAATAAAACATGGATTTCCTGTAGATAACGAGCTAATACAATCACCGTTTATGGCATCAGGCGAAATTTCCAGATTGTAAAAATCGATATCTTTGATTGATTTTATTCCCGTCATTCGGTACTTATTAGCGTAAGTAATCGGGTTTGTCAAAGACTCTATCAACAATGTCGTTGACGACCACTATTCCCACATCAGACCTGACCTGACTGATGTGACACAGTCGTAAAAATAATCCGCCATTGCTGATATATATAGATTGAGAAACACTAAACACATCAATCTTCATCAGCGTCTTTTGTCTCTAAAGTCACTGAACGTTTAAAAAAAGAGAAACGTTTGACGTATTCGCTAATGTGTTTTGAAGATTTGCACCTGTTCTTGAATTAAGTGGGGGCAATAATGTGATTAGGGTATTAGCCGAGATCTCAAATATTTTGGTTTACTAGATTTGTGCTCAAATTTATAACCCTACCAGTTATGCGGTCCCTACTAGTCAGTAGCATCCCATTTATGCATGTCCAAAGCGCAAATACGCTTGAAATCAAATTAGAATTATTACGTATTTAGTTTCGTCTGTATGGTTCTGATTTTGTTATCTAAACTTCAGTCTGGTAAAATGAAAGAAAACGATGAACGAATTGAAAAAAAAAACCTATCAATAATATGACTGTAATCAGATTGAAAAAGTTTGTTAAATGGAAAGATTTTATGTTCCCAGGGTTTCCTGTATTCCATTAGTCAAACTCCCAGACCTTAACTTTAATTTTTGTTTTATTTGTTGTATACTTTCAGAAACAACAACTGAAATGATGAATGACACAACCATGTATACTGGCACAACCCCAGCAGAAGATTGGCAAGGCAATAAGGATCAGGAAACGACATTTGCAGTCACAACAACACCACTACCAACAACAACTGAAGCTACGACTACTACCACCTTACCACAATCAACCACACCTTCTTTACAGGTACAAAAGAAAGCGTTGTCACTATCGACGTTGGGCCCAGGTAGTCAAGCGGTAGTCAACTAGAATCACAGCGTGGGTCGAGAAACACGTTCGGGATTTTTTTAATTGTCAGATATCCTCGCAGTCTCATATAACAACTTTTGGTCTTCGAAGGAATTGTTAGTGAGCAGAAATTCGCCCGTGTATCTGTTATCACTCGTCACTTCAGTCAGTTATATAGAAGGATAACTCGTGTTTTCCTTTTGTGTGTGTGTGAGTTAGTTGTATTTTACGTCCTCTTCCACCGAGGAGTTCGTCACTTCCTTTTGTAGAAGCCTTCATTACTCATCTATCGTAGCAATGATCTCTGTGTTAAAATTATATTTGAAACGTGTTAAACGAGTTCTATCACATTTGTGACAATGATTGACACCAATATTGTCCTTTAATCAACCAAGCGCCTGTTGCTTTATATGTTGTTTTATAGTAGTTTAGAAATTAAAGAAAACACATATACGTCCCAGGACAAATCTTAACCCTGAAATTTTGTGTTTTACTTCCTGATGAACCAGAAAAAATACATATTTTTTTATAGAACCATTTTAAAATCGATTGTTAAATATGTTTTACGTATAGTCGACACAATATATTTCCAAATATACAATAAATGTTCGACGACTACATCCTTATTAAAATTATGAAACTCGCTTATCGGCTACGAGGCTCTGATGACATTTATTTTAGAAGAATATCCAGAGAGAGAGAGAGAGAGAGAGAGATGGGCTTAACGTCCATTCGACACAAACTAGGTCATTTCGGGACTAACATGGTTTAATTTTATTTCAATAATTCGCTTGCGCATAGGGGTCTTTAGCAGTGGGAGGAAACCGGAGGACCCGGAGAAAACCCACGAGGTTGGACAGGCGACCCTACTCCTTGTCACGTACAACCGGGGATTCGAAACCACGCCAGTCGACTCAATGACAGACTTTATGATACAGCGCGCGCACGCTAACCATTCAGCCATCCAACCCCCCAATATCCAGAGGGTGGCGAATGGATAATCATAATAACAAACATGGGACATTTTTTTCTCAGGTATCCTTAAACCCTGTCCTGGCGATAACACATTTGTTCAGAACGTGATCAAACATTTGTATTTCCGTGCACAGATGTGTAGCAAAAGGAACAGGATCACTCATTGTTTCAAGATGGCGCCTTGTTTGTCCATAAACGTTATCGTATAAATGTGTGATCGTGTTTTGAACTGGTATGGCTTTAGCTTTTACTGTATGACAAACAAAACGAGGCCGTGACTGCCACATCTGGTACGACAATAGTGGAAACAAATTTTGTGTTTTAATTTTTATCATTCCACGTACTGTATGTAATCTGTTTTCTTTTTTCCAGGAACAGGAAGCTTTTCTGACACATGACATGATACAAGGATTAGCTGCTGGATTTGGATTTTTCTTTGGAACAATTATATTAATCGTTTTATTGTGGTGTTTATGTTGCAGTAATGCCTGCTCTAGGCCGGATAAACCACAAAAACTAATGCGCCCAAAAGTAGGCCCATCTCCCACACCCAAAGGAACGTCAAGAAACAGTTGAAGATAGGCAAAAGAATCAAGCATATTGATGCTAAACATTTATGTACGGTTGTGATTCCAAGATAATTGTGATCTACATGTATTCAGATGACCACGATGCTTTCTTTTAAGGGTGAAATTTGTGGATGAATACCTTTTTTTGAAATACCGTAATGTTGGATCGGTGTCATATGAATCGATCCAGATGATCTAATTTCACCGAATCTACAGTCATTATATATTTTATAAAATATTTGTAAATATAATAATAATATAGCATAACCTTTAATCCCTCCAATCGTCCATGTATTTGTTGAAGTGGATTTTCTGCTGATATAGGTGTTTTTAAATCTGCTGAATTATTTTATATTTTTTAACTGAGCTACAGTATTTACTGATTGTGAAGAGGATATTGGACAGTTCTGTTGGTTTTGTTGTCAGATAATGTATATATGGAATGTTTAAATTGTAGATAACATTTTTCGGTTTGGAGGAGGCCAATATCATACACATGCACGTACATTGATTTTGTTAATGTGCCAATTTGTAACATGTTTTGTAAAGCAGGAATTCGGTGCTTGTATATCAGTATAGTTTTATATTCAAAAATGCTGCTTATAAACCCGGGATGGGGTCATTAAATTAATGCAGCATTTTAGTCCACCCGTAAGTAGTATTCGCGATTGCAAAAAGAATTCTTGCTTTACAAGAGTAGGGCCTATTAACATTTCCGCAATCAATTTCCGTCATGTTAAATGCTGCTGAAAATATTTGCTGAATATTGTTTAATATGGGATCTTTAAGATTATTATTAGCACTATTTTTACCTGTTGACTGATGCCAACTGTTGTTTATTTAGCGGTTTGATTAAATGAATTGCAGAGTTAATATGATATACTCTGTACGCCCAGCTTTCTAGTAATGGTGGTTAACATTTCAAACTGTTAGGTTTGACTTTAAAAAGGAAAGTAGGGCTTTTTCCTAGTTAGTGTGAAGAATGAAATTAGACCCCAAATTGTGTCATAATTTTGGTGCCATACGTTTTACAATTTTCGGTCACTTTCCAGCAGTTTGCTACATTTTGGATTTGTAATGTGATCTGATTTATTTTAACAACGTTCTCTATTATTTACAAAATTTGTTATGGCAACCTTGGCAGAAAACACATAAACAGGGACAGAGGGGCGCCTTTTTATGATGAAATGTTTTGTGTTCCGGACACTTTTTTTTAAATTATATTTTAGTATAATATATATATACGCTATATATTAACTTTTTCAGATCATTGTGGGGCGTAAAAGGTTGAAAAATACTGCCCTAAGCGATCTTCTTTTAAACAGTTGTGTTTTCTTCGAATTGCTTCTAATTGTACGTGTGACACGTTAGGTTGCATGTGTCAAATTACGCCTCTAGTCGTAGTATATAGTCGTGAACTCCAGAGTTATTTCGTGTTAATTGAATTCGGAATCGGACATTTTAATTGAAATTAATAAACCGTTCGCCACTTCAAATGATGATGAAGGCCTATGTTAGTTATCTTCTGAAAGTTGAAGTAAGCGACTTAAACCGTGAACCAAACCAACTTGCAACAAATTTTTCGCCTTGGGAAACCAAGGACTCCCCTCCCCCTTCTGCCGGAGCATTTTCAGGCTGACCACACCTAGTTTAGTAGTTTTATAGTTGACGATCATCTTTGCATCATGAAATCTTAATAGATCTGGTAGACGTTTTTTTTTTAAATCAACATTTCTTTAACTTAAGCCCCTATCACACCAAAGCACGACCTGAAGCAAATCAAATATTTTGAGTCGCACTGTAAAGCTGGAGAAGGTCTTCTTGGATCAAACTTTTAGATAATAAATAATTGTTATATTGTAAATAAGCCTAATAATCATGCTATAGTGTATTGTTATTTTTGTATTATTTTGTAAAGCCGACTGTTTGGGGAAAAAGTATTAGTAGATAGAAAGAAAACAAAAAGAATCGTTCAAATGCGGCTCCATTTTTTTTATACGCCGACATTTTGATGTGGCCGTATATTGGCGCCAATTCTGCTGCATTTACAAAAAGTAACCTGTGAATCATTCAGTTGATTTCATTTTCAAGGCATATACACGGGATTTGTATGTCGAACTGGGATAACCACAATAAATTTGCTGGACAATAATGCTGGCGGTTGGCGAATTCCGTTGGCTGGCAACCAAAATTTACCAGTTGGTGTGCCATAAAAATGGAGGTTATGTTCAGCATTTCCAGAAATTAGTGTTTTTTGGGTATTGTTAAATAGCAAATAAATTATACGCAACTACGCGTAGAATATCAGTCTCCTTCACATAATGAAGGAAACACGGACTAAATTGAAAACGCACTGTTGGTATATTAAAGGTTGTGAAGCATATTACTCATATGAAATATATATATATATATATATATATATATATATATATATATATATATAATATAATATGTGTATAAAATATGTTTGTACATAAAAATGTCAATTGTTAATCAATTTTACTTATTTAACACAAAATATTTGTCATGCTGTGAATTAAATCAATGATATTTATGAATAAAATATATGTTTTTATAGATATAAATGTTCAAATTATTATAACGCTATTGTGAGCACCCTTCCTTTTTGGCAGTCAAGTTTCTATACATTGTGAAATTTGTCTTCTAAATGGTTAATCAAGCCCTGGCTGCGTATCACGTGGGTATTCATTACTTAAAAAAGTGACTATTTAAAGTAACTCCAATTTAAAAATTCTCTAATGTAAAGAAATGTGATTAAGTCCTCATTAACTATTTGGTTCAACAGAGGTTACTGTTTGGTTCAACTGAGGTTATTCTAACCTATATTATGCTACACGGTGCGCTTCACTATAATATTAGCACCGAGTGGAACTGGAACTTTTGTTCACAGGAATATATATATATATATATATATATAGAGAGAGAGAGAGAGAGAGAGAGAGACATGGGGTTTAACGTCCACTCGACACAAACTATGTAATTTCGGGACTAACACATGGTTCAGTTTTATTTCAATAATCCGCTTGCGCGTAGGGGTCTTTAGTAGTGGGAGGAAACCGGAGGACCCGGAGTAAACCCACGAGGTTGGACAGGCTACCCTACTCCTTGTCACGTACAACCGGGGAATCGAAACCACGCCAGTTGACTCAATAACAGACCGTACGATACAGCACGCGCGTACTAACCATCCGGCCATCCAACCCCCTATACATAGAGGGCAGATAGTTAGTAATGACGAATGAAGCAATAACTTATATTACATTCCGACAACAAGGGGATTAGATAACATCTTTATCAGATGTCATTACGTGTAATTAAAATGTACCCACATACCGGAGTTTATTATATAGTAAACGAGTTGCAGTTACTTTCGGTCTAATAAACATCACATTGTGGAACACATCTGACAGTCCATGATAAGTACACCAAAGTGCCAATGAATCTAGTGCTGTCAGATGATCTGTCATCATATATGTATCTACATTAGTATTGCATATGTCATGCACTTGAATAACGTTCTCTCTGGACGGAATTAAATATTGCAATTCAATATATCTCTGTCTCGTACTTTGTCATAACTAGAAACTTTGAGGTTATTTGATTTGGCGGCATGGTCGCTTTAACCTCACAAAGTTCTAAACATTGTAGCAATTCTGCCTTTCTCCCTTTTCCCGCCTTTTGCATGGCAATTTTTGTTGACTTCGTGGTCTCGAATCGAAGACGAGTTTTTGAATTTCCATTTTCTGCCAGGTTTTGGTGAATATTCGTGATATTGGGGCGGAAGGATTGATTAGGAAGTAAGCAGCCATGAATTAGTCTGATAGCCTACTAAAATGACGTCATTGCCTATAGATTCCTTTGATCGGGTCTAGTAAAAAATTGAAATGGTTAACCCCTTTTCAATATTTTTATCAGATGATTATAACATGTTGGGGTCTTTGTGGTTATAAAGATTCAGATCATCAGAATATCAACAAACAAAATAATAATAAAAAAAAAATGTTATAGGCCAAGAAATGTCATGGATTTAATATGGGGAGGGAATTACTAGTCTGAATTCTGTTGCTTAATGGTCAAATCGTTGAAAACATGCAGGAGAATGATTCCATATTATTTTGGGTGGAGCACAAAGCCCTAATTTATGACGTATCCAGGAATTTTTTTCTCAGTTGTATCCACGTCTATATAAAATAAAACCTTTTCCAGCGTGATTCACCCTTGTCAGTGATGCAGGACGGGGGGCCTGACAAGGACAGCTGTCTAGTCAATCGGATGGGACGAAAAACCGAGGTCCCGTGTACATATTGGCGTGCACGTAAAAGATCCCTTGGCAGGGGGAATTCGATATAAGAGTAGGTCGTAGTGCCGCTGTCAGGACAAAATTTCCATCATAGCACAATGTATGGCGTAGGGCCTATGCCCGTCTTCATTAGCCCAGTCCGGAGCAGAACAGTAGGACGTTAAACCCCATTTCTTTTCATTTGAAATAAAACATTGACGTGAAAAGTAATTTCACGCAACACGCTAAAATATTTCGACACCATGGACCCAAATTGCGCATCACGTGCACACAGGAGACTAGCACAGATAATCAGATTCTGCCTACGCACACGTGCAGTGATTATATTTTTTAAATGATATATCAAAATAATGTCACCAATTGGGATATTTGAAGACGAGAATATATTCAATAAGCTATGAGGGAAATTTTGCCAGAACATCGGACATAGGCGTTTCCGCCTAATCCTCGCCGCATTCCAACTGCCAAGTGCTTTTTAGGTGCACGACAACGTATACGCGGGGCCATGGGTTTTCGTCCAACCAGAACGACTGTGTGTTAAAACGTGTAGTACGGGGTAAGGGCCGTTTTCCATGTACGAGTTTTCGTCGGTCTAATGCAAATGTAATGGGGCAGTTTTCATGTAACTAAAACGCGCGCGAAAACGCGTACATGGAAAACGGGCTAAACTGCTTGTAGCGATAGCCTGGACATGGTTTTCATGAAGGGCCGAATCCACTGGGTAAAAGACAACCGCGCGACCAAAGGATATCAATCGAATTGCCAGACCATTTACAATATAAATATATCGAACGATTGGCTAAACAAAACAACAAACACAGAGGGTGTCTAGAAAATGTTTTCATTGTCAACGTTCCACAGATTTAGTTGCTGTAGTACTTCACTGTGGTTATCTCCCTTCAGTCGGTATCTGAATTCCGTTAATGTTCGGATGTTGACTTGATTTAATTTTTGTTGTTGTTGATCATTATCAGTTTGGTCTCTCGTCGACCTTTTAGGTCAAGTCATTTGGCGTCCTACCATTTCACATTTTGCACACATACTTCGAGAATAGATCTCTACCCTAAATGGCCGCCATATCTAAAAATTAGTATACCGTTTTGTAATGCCGTTTCATATCTGTCATACACACAAAGACTAAAAAAAAACCTTTTCACTTTCATTAGATGTAAGCTGAATAAATACTTAACAAAATTCTCGAAGTATACTTAGTGTTTTCAACTAAATCGTCGATTTAGGACTTAAAATGTCGGTCAACTAGCTTAGTGCCTGTTCTCAAGTGGAGATAACTGTAGACAGACAGCCTAAGTTTAGTATGACCATTTCATCGAGGGCGAAAAAGTGAGCCCCAACCCATATAACAAAAAACGAAATCTTTTTCTGATGGTCAGTTACATCCATTCTCGTTTGGAAGGTTTTTCTCCTCACAAAACTGGAGTAAACAGGGCTTTTGAGTAGCATTTATTCTGGATAATTTAGGACACCACATTATAAATAAAATGAAATGGGTTTAACGTTCTACTGTTTTGCACCGACTGGCCTAATAAAAAGGACCATACGCCATACAGTGTGTTACGATGTAAATATTGCCCGGACAGCGTCAGTACGCCCTGTTCTTATTTCGAATTCCATCTGTGAAGGGTTATTTTACGTGGACGCCAATGTGTACGCGGAACCTCGGTTTTTCGTCCCATCCCATCTGAACGTTGTCCCATTCCAGGCACTCCTTCCTGCACCTCTGACAAGGGCGAACCACGCCGTAAAATCCCGATGATCAATACCGGGACCAAACATGGGACCTGCAGGTTAGCAAACCAACGTCTTGCCCTGTTCCCCAATCCACTCAGTTTCTGAATAAATATTGTTTATATATAAAATAAAAATCAAAAAACAACTTTTAAATAGTCTGGGCTTAGAAAATATATATTCTTGAAATGATCTACACGATCCAGAACAACCTCACAAATTAGATGCGATGTTACCTAGTTTTCACTTCATTCTACATTCTTTTCGACTGACCATGCCAAGGCTCGGGAGATGCTGTGGGACAAAGAATCCAGAAAGTATATGTTTAAAATGTAATAACATTCCTCACCCCCGAAAAGATAATAAGCTAAATCAGGTTTTGGTGCTTACCTGGCGCATTGTACAACTAAAACAACTGTGTATATTTTTGTGAACGTCGTTAATTTTGGGGGGAATTTCATGATAATATTTTGTTAAGGGTATTGTTAATAGATACAAGATTTCAATAAATCACAGATATTTTTGCATGCAGACCATTAGTGTGTGCATATTTTGCTATCTTAGTTTACATAGCTGTTCCTTTTCGATATAGTACACTATAATGTTGTCTATATTATATTTTTTTTTTATTCGTGCACTTAAGATTCACATTAATTTTAAAGTATCAGTAAACTAGCGCTCGGGTGTACTAGAAATAGTAATCATGGAAGGCACCCACCACTAGGCCTAGATTTCAAAAGCCGAGGCCACCTGTATCTATATACACCTTCGGAAATGCATACAATAAATTGTCTTGGGAGCCCCGCCTCCCCACTTCTATGAGACTCAATCCGGTCAGTTGAGCCCCCTGTTGCACTGGATGTCACTAGTAGTCTCGCGCATCGAGCAACCTACCATTTGGGAAAGCTCCAAGATTAAAGGGCCATACCACAGATTTCTTGGGAACATTGCCTCAGCACAGTTCTTATACGTCCGACGAAAACTGCTTAAAGGTTCAGATTCCACGTTTATTTTTATCCTCCTGATTGCAAAATTATAGATTTACTGTTCCGGCGTCGTATTTCACGACAATCCATTTTGTATTAGAAAAGTAGATGTATTTATCAAACTAACAAAATTCCGTACCAATCTCACCGAGATTTCACTAAGTGAAATAACAAATATTTCTCACAAAGAATGACCCCAAGCCCATGCATAGCAGTCTCGTACCTACAGCGGGCGGATAGGTATAATAAACATCGATTTTTTTCTCTCTCTCTCTAAACTCGATAGAAGATCAGTTTTGTGTTTTCGTTTGTGTAAAGCAGAAAACAGCTGATACTACTTCTCACTTCAGAATAAACATAAACAGTCGAGTATTTCTTGTAACTTTGTATTTTTTTATTTAACCCTTATACAATGTGAAGACTATCATATACTGTACCAGAAAAAAAATAGATGAATTTAATCAACAGAAATCTGGTATGAAGTTCACAAAATTACAAACTATTGTCTTCGGTGCACGCTTCGCACCAATCGGGCTAACGAAAGCGGTCATACACACAGTGTGCTATGAGAGAAATATTGTATTGATAGCAGCACTACGGCCATTTCTTATTTCGATTTCCAACTATCAAGGGATCTTTAACAATGGTATATACGAGTTTTTGGACCATCTGTAATTATACGTTTACCTTGTCATGCATTCACCACTGGCAAGGAGGAACCGAGCTGGAAAAAAACGAGTAAAGTTCTTGGTTAAGAAGAAGCCACTCATTTAAAGATCTTAGCTATTCAAACCGATCGATCTCTGTACATTTTTTCAGCATATTACGATCTTCGACCAATGTTCAGTTATTAGCCACCCTCCTGTTTATTTTAATAATGGGACAAGCGAACAAATGAAATGGGGATTAAGGTCCTATACTTTTCTGCTCCAGCCGGGATAATGAAGACGGGGCGAGCGCACAACACAGATACAAATTTGATTTTAGTTAATCAAATTGCCTACCAGGCCCGTAACTAGGGGGGCGCCCCCCCCCTGCAAAAAATCCCCCCCCCCTCGTAAAAACATTGTCGGCCATAAAAACAATAGATACAATGTCCGTCAATTTTACAGCACCCCTGAGAACACTTCCCGACCCCTTCTCTCAAATTTATTGGAGAGCCGCGGTGGCTCCTTGTGTAAGACGTTGGCTCGCTAATCTGGAGGTCCAATCTGATTAAAACACAGATCATATTTCGTTTCGTTTTTATAGTTCAAAATTTCGTTTAACTTGTCTTTACTACACTGGGATCTGGAAGAGTTGTTATCATTGACGTGTTCTGAATGGTGTGCGGGCTTAGCCAAAAGTCCCAAAATGGCGTCTTTTGTCGAGTGTATATAACTAAACGAGCAGCGATATTGTCTCAAGGCTGCTGGTTTGATATAATTCCCTGGTAATTCCCCAAACCCAATGCCAAACTTGACGTTTGTTGATATAATACACTCTCCACAGAAATCTCCATGGGCGCAGCCATTTTTCATCCGGGATCTTTAAAATAGTTCCAATATGGCGGAATTCGTCATACAGCCGAGATTAGATGCGTAGAATCTGTCGAGGGTAATCCACTAGTAACATCAATGCTGATTGGTTAATCAATTGCCTGACGTCGTTGGGTCAAAATCCGCTCGTATGACCTCTGACGCGACCTATCGCCACAGAGTAAAACATTGTTTACTCTGTGCTATCGCTACAACCGGTCAGATCTTCATGTAGTGTAGGCTATCGAAAGTATAAAAAAACGAAATGAAATATAGATCTGTATTTTAATCAGATTGCTGGAGGTCCCGTGTTCGACCCCGCTGTTGGCCTGGCAAGGCACGACGTATAGGTGTTAGGATGGGACGAAAACCCGAGGCAGTTGGAATTCGATATAAGAAGAGAAGGTTGCAGCGCCGATGTCGGGGCAAAATTACCCTCATATAGGACATTGTATAGCGTATGCCCGTCTTCATTAGCCCAGTCGAAGCTGAACAGTATAGAACGTTAAGTCTCAGTCCATTTTATTATTCTAAAATGTATAACGATCTTGGGTTAGTTAGTCTTCCTTTTTTAAAAAAACAATACAAAACTGAATGACTATATTATGGATCTTTCGTGATTCGATATTTTGCTTGTTTCTTTAAATTTTATCCGATTGTTAAGAATCGATCAATATTCTGAAGAAAAAACAACTCTTTTCAAAGTCTTCGTTCAACACAAACTTATCAGAAATCGACGGATTAGAGCTGTTTTGTATAACAATCAATAGGTATTTTAAACATTAAGCCCAGTAATATAAAGAATGAAATTCAGTTTCGTGTTTTTGATTATGTAAATCTATATAACAATATGAATATACATTATAAGTATATTAAATACAAGTTCAATATGGATACCTGATTTACGGGTCACGGGTAAGGACCAGCAGGGCAAAAAAGGAAAAGATATAAGGTTTAACGTCTCTTCAACAAAATACTTGGGTGATTATGAGATTAAAATGTGGCAATTTATATTTATATTGTTACGTTCAGCATAGTAAGTGGGGGGGGGGCAAGTTAGTGGTTTTCCGCCTACTCTCCTTGGAATTCCAACTGCCAAAGGATCTTTTATGTGCACTATAATTTGTACACGTGATCTTGGGTTTTAGTACCACCCGAACGACCAGAGACACTTGATAGGACTCACGAGGAAATCAATTCTAGTTCTATGCTTAGGGGCGCGGTTGTCAGACCTTTGGGATTTTTGAAGTCCAGCGTTTAAGGCTGACAAGGAAAATATGTCTTGATTCTTGGATGGAATGAAACACTGGCATGTACATAAAAGAAGAGTTTGTCGAAATTATCTTTGTCTCGAAATAAATTTTTTCGACAAATTCCATTCTTTTCAATTATTTGTAGAGGCAGGCCCCTGTGGTCATGACGTTAGTGAATTTGAATCTAGTCTAGTCCGAAATGAAATGAAATGGGGCTTGACGTCCTACCGTGGCTTCGTCTCCCTGACGAAATTAACAAGAAAGAGTATCGCCATCGACAGGTCACCCCCCCCCCCCCTCCCTCAGAGCACACTGCATGAGGCACCTCTTCTCTTTTAATCCCCTTAAATTGGTGCAGAAATTAAGACATTAAACCCCAGATTACGTACTGACTGTGTGTATACATTTAGACTGAAATGAAAGACTGAGAAATGAAATGAAATTGGGGAACGTCCTGAACGACAGATAGAAAATCGTTTAGTATATGGTGCTAAATTCGTCTTTTAAGATAGTCTGTCACAATATCGGTGTACAATCTAATTAGGGTATTATTTTACTTGTCGTTAGTATTATTAGTTTGTCAGTTTAAGTAACTACAATAATTGACTAACGGTAGATTTCGCGAGGTACTTTCGCGAATACCAAAACAGCTGTTACCTCTATATATCCGCACGTTCCCGCTCGTGTCTTGCACGCGCTATTTAGAAATGAAGCCAGTGTAGCGCAAAGCCACTGATAGATCGATGGAACTATACAGACGGTCGTTGCACAATGCGGCCTTATATACCAGTTTTAAATAATTTTATTTTATTGTCTAATCATTATATAGATCTATATGGATAGATGAAAATATGACAAGATATATTAGAGGTAGACCATACATATTTTATTGAAGCTTATAGATAATTATTAGAATAGGTAAAGCGAACACATGCAGACTACCTGTGATGCCGTTACAAAGCCATGTTGTGTGTTCTGGTGCCGTTAACTATGAAACTAGTGACAGACTTCAGCTTGCTTTAAAGCAAATAGCAGCACTTATGTGTCATCAGTGAAGATTAAGTTAATAGAGAGCGTCATATTTAACGTTAATCTTTGAGGAGACAGTCTATTATTATATGTCTGTGGTTCGAGTATATTCACTGAATAAATACCACTTGCTTTATTTAAAATATACAGAAACCAATATACATAGGATTTTACACACTGTCTGCGAATTAAAGTAAAAGACTTTGAAATCGACCAGATTGTCTTGAAGAAAATGTCTACTGAGATTCGTGCAAATATGCGTATAATGATTCAACAGCTTGTGACATAAGATCGGGAAATTAATGATATTTTATTTTTGGAAACAGATAACAGACGTTCTGCCATATTTTTAATAATAGACGTTTATAGATTTCATAATTAACCAAGAACAGAGTTTTTTGTTTCGATATCGGGAATAGGAATCATTGTCATTCACATTTAATTGAAGATGCAGGTCGTCTACAGTGGTGGATCGACAACCCCCTCTCCCTCCCCACGCCTTCAGAGGAAAACATTCCAAGGATATGGAAGACCAGTATTACCAGGGTACCTGACGTCTCCCTATCCAAATTCATCTCATAACAGATCGAAAGAGAAAGTGAATGAAGGAGATAAAAGTTTACGTGATTCTATACCAGCGATGAGTAAACCTGTTGCTGTCATGTGTCTTGTTTGCAACATTATTTTACCTGGTCTAGGTAAGTCTTTTGATTACTTACACAAGTTCTTATCCTTCCAGGTACTTATTGAATTGTGGTTTTGGTAAAGAGAAAGAATGCTTCAACACTGAACTCTATTTTTACCAACTTTGACATTTTATTGACACCTTGATTGACACCTTTTAGGTGTGTGTGTGTGTGTTTGATGAGGGGGGGGGGGGTAAAAAAATAAAATAGGTACTTATTAAATATCACTGTCTCATATTTTTGAAAAAGAGAAAAAGGGTTTGAAAACTAGAATTCAACAAATTTTACCAATTGAGACATTAGAGTGACGCCTTAGGTTTGTCTAAATATATACTTTTTTTCTATTTTTTTTAAAGGTTCAGGGTTTTTAATACTACCAAAAACAAAAATAAATAAAATAACAAAATGTATAAAACTACAATTTAATTCAATTCCAAAAGTAGTCTTTTCAAAAAAAGAGCTTATATAGCAATATACTTGATAATCTTTTATTTAATACATTTCGGTGTGGTTTCTTTTTGGCAATAATGACAACATTTTAGAAATTACTGTGAACAAAGGAGGGGGGGGGGTGATTTTGTTTTTTGGAGTAGCAAGTTAAAGTATATAAAGCATTGTACAAATTAATGTATGATTACTTTTTTTTCACTAACACGCTGCAGACAAACACAGTTGGCAATCATATAAATTAGGTGGTGTTGGAAGACTGTTGTTAATAGTTTTTACATTCAAGTTAAATAGTGATGAACTAATCACCTTGTATTGAGTTACCATATAATACACTAAATAGATGGGCTGAACACTTCTTATTACTAATACTTGATAATTATAACAATATGTTACATCATCTCATCCTTTCTGGTATTATTATATCTACCTGAATTCTATTAAATGAAATGAAATGAAATGGGTTTAACGTCCTACTGTTCTGCTCCTATACTGGGCTAATGAAGACGGGCATACGCCATACAGTGTGCTATGAGAGAAATTTTGCCCGGGCAGCGGCACTATCGCCTACTCTTACATCGAATTCCAACTGCCAGGGGATCTTTTACGTGCATTCCAATATATACACGGGACCTCGGTTTTTCGTCTCATCCGAAAGACTAGACAGCTGTCCTTGTCAGGCCCTCCGTCCCCGACCTCCAGGTTAGCGAGCCAGCGTCTTACCCACTTAGCCACGTGATCCCCCGAATTCTATTAAAGATTACATGAACATTGCTTAATCAGCATGGAGTGAATACAGTTTGTTCAGTGCTAAAGTACACCCACAAGAATATAGAGATGTGTGTGAAGCTTATTCATGGGAATACAAATGTCATAGTTTTTTTCTCTAATGTTGAATATTGTATGAAATGCTTTGGTTGAACTGAAAAGTCGATTTAGATAACAAATAAAAGTTCAATATTGCACTTTTTTTAATCTTTTACCCCCATGGTAAAGTCAATCCAATCCAATCTAATCTAATCTCACCCAACCCTTTAACAGTGTCCTAGTGTAACACTAATAATTGTTTGCAAGTGTTCTAATCTGTTATTAATTTGGCATTGATTGTCAATGGATGATACTACTGGTCTTAGATTTAAATATTGTTATTATTGCAGAGATTTCAGGAATTCACTAAGTTTTCAATAATATTTTAAGTAAACCAAACAGACCTTCTACTTTTGAAGTAAAATATTTTAAGCACATACATTTAGTTCTAAAATCAGAAACATGTACAGATTGTCAAAACAATGCTGGTTTAATGCTAAAAATGTGTACAGTAGCATTACCATTAAAACAGTAATTGTACATTAGTAGTTGTAGAACATTGAAGGTTTCATTAAAAGGTGATTCATTGTTTCCAGTTGTAGCAAATTATTGAAATAAAATTGTAACATATGTTAGTCCACAAAATTACCTAGTTTGTTTTGTGAGGATGTTAAACCCAGTTTTTCTCAGAATTTCACGTTACCTCTTCTGGGATTTCAGATCAGTGATAGGATTAGGGGATTTTAGATTCCATTCTTCTCCTCTGAAACACTAGCTAGAACATTTTCAAGAGATTAGTATCACGACAATGAAAAAAAAAAAAAATAGGCAGACCTGAATTGCGCTATGATTCCTTCTTATAACAAATGGAGCCATCCCAGCAAGTTAAAAAACTGTAATTGCAAAATGTTTACAGGAACCACAAACTTAAGAATTTTAAAAACTGTTGTTACAGATTTAGTCTTACTTCTGTTTGAAATCAATAGCATATATTGTTATTTTTCAAGTGTATTAAGAATTTATCTCCTCTGACATGTCATGTAATTGGCCCATTCCCACCATGGTAATTTGAAATCTGTCTAGTTAACCAACAAAAAGTTATTATGGTTTTTCTCTTCAAGTTTGTTAACAACTCCCTTGGGACAGACATTAACTAGAAATGATTTACTTAATGCATCGTTAATCGTAGTGCATTCCTGATTGGTTAATCTTTCAGGTTATGTACATTTATTACTTCATCAATCCGACCAATGACTACTCCCTATTCAACTAACTTAAAAAAAAAAAAAATATAATGTATGTACTTTTGATTGGAAGATAGCCATATTCCATCTCCCTGAAGCAATTTTCCCCTTTTCTGACTGAGGCTAAGATGCAATTATTTCTGTTTAACCAAGACTTACTCCAAATCGTTTATTTTTCTAGGAAGTTTTGAAAAGATCTTGGTGCCCCCCCCCCCCCCCTGAACCCCCCATTACAAAAATTGGACCAAAAGTCAGACATTGAGTGACGTCATCATTACATGTATAACAAGTAGCATGGTATTATTTTGATTAATCTGACATTTTGTACACATGCTCTTTCCCAATTATAAATAATTGAATAAATAATATGGCAAGCAATGACAGAAAACAGCAGGGTGTACATCTTGCGTAGGCAGGTCTTCGTATTACAAGGTAAACAGGTTTCTAGTAGAATCATTTCTTAAGCAATCAAATTACATCAACATATAGAAGATTTTGTTATTGTTTAACTGAAATCTAATCAGTTAGGAAAGAAATTGAATTCAACTGTTTATAACAACTAAGTGGATGATCTGTAACAGGAATATACATGTATGTTTAGTTAATCTGCTGTAATTCTACCAGACACGTCCATAAATACCGATTTCTTTAGTTTTAAATTGACACAACTTGAAATTGTGGATTTTGGCTCATGTAACTTAAAGCGTACATTGAACTTTTCCATATTGGACTCACTTTTCTATCTTATTTATCTTATTGTGCTATTGTTCAATATAATCATATCTGACCACCAAGTGATTTAAAATGCATCATATTTTCACCATCATGCCATAAAGCATCATAATTCACCAAGTGATTCAAATAAAGCATCATATTTCACCACCAAGTGGTTCAAATAAAGCATCATATTTCACCACTAAATGATTCAAATAAAGCATCATATTTCACCACCAAGTGGTCCAAATAAAGCCATCATATTTCACCACCAAGTGGTCCAAATAAAGCTATCATATTTCACCACCATGTGGTCCAATAAAGCATCAAGTGATTCAAATACCACCTAGTGATTCAAATAAAGCATCATATTTCACCACCAGATTGATCATCATCATATCTAATCATTCTCCTGATCATCAGTCTCTTGTACCATATTATTATATTTACTATCATCATATACATTGTAATACAATGATTGTATCATCACTCTCTTGTACACATTCATTATATTTTATCATATCTCATCATTCTCTTGTACACCATTATATATACCATCAATCTCACCATCTTTATGTCTCACCATTATATCTAATTATTCTCTTGTACACCATCTAACTATTCTCTTGTACACCATCATTATATTTACCATCAATCTCACCATCTTTATATCTCACCATAATATCTAACCATTCTCTTGTACACCATCATTATATTTACCATCAATCTCACCATCTTTATGTCTCACCATCATTTCTAACCATTCTCTTGTACACCATCATTATATCTCACCACCATTATATCTCACCATCTTCATATCTCACCATCATTATATTTACCATCATTATGTCTCTTGATCCTTTTGTTTACCATCATCACTTTTTCGTACACCATCATATTTTGGTCACCATCCTCATATCATATTTCACCACCATGTTGTTTATCATCATTTCACACCACCTTGCTATTTACCGTCATCAAATTGCAACACCATGATATATAACCGTATTTATCATCATCCTATATCACAGACACCACCATCTTATGTCACAAACATCACCATCTTGTCTCACAGGCCTGTTTAATTTTCAACATTGAGATAAATTTAATTATTAATGAAACAATTTTACTAATTGACTATGAAGAGAGGATATGAACTTCTGATGATATAAACTCCAATCTCCAATTACTTCAGCATGTTTCAGCATTTAAAGATTTATCAGAGTAGATATTTTGTTGTAATTCTGGGCATTGCATGACTAAATTAAATAAGCCCAGGATATTGACAACAGTCTGGTTCTAAATATTTGATTATCTTGCCGTTGGCCTACACCCTTTATTATCAATTATACATGTATTCAATCCACACAAACTTAATTTATATTTTAAGTTCTTCACATATCTCACTTGCCTGGATATGTGGGATGATTCACATCTTTTAATACCAGGAAGTCTGTAAATGCACCAAGTTGCCTTACATCTTAGACATTATACACAGCAGTGATATGTACTTGTAAAACACATAAACATGATTTGTTTTTTTTGTCAGTTCTAGAACTTGGTTGTTTTTCTCCAGTCATATTTATACTTGAATAATGAGACAAAAATGCAAGTCTTTATTTAGGCTTCAGATGTTATAGAAATTATTAATTAGACTTTTATTTACACGACAAGCTCACAATCAACTCTGTAGACCCACGGATGGCTTGGACACAGTTTGGATTTAAACAGTCATCCATTTAAAATTAAATAATAAATGGCGGACCAAGCTAACGTTGACCATTAGTCGCTGATGTCCCT